CACCGCCAAAGCCCTTTTAAGCACTTTCGGCCTGATTTCTGCTTAAAAGGGCTTTGCTCTGGCAAGTCCACCGCCAAAGCCCTTTTAAGCACTTTCGGCCTGATTTCTGCTAAACAGGGCTTTGCTCTGGCAAGTCCAGCGCCAAAGCCATTTTAAGCACTTTCGGCCTGATTTCTGCTAAAAAGGGCTTTGCTCTGGCAAGTCCACCGCCAAAGCCCTTTTAAGCACTTTCGGCCTGATTTCTGCTAAAAAGGGCTTTGCTCTGGCAAGTCCACCGCCAAAGCCCTTTTAAGCACTTTCGGCCTGATTTCTGCTAAAAAGGGCTTTGCTCTGGCAAGTCCACCGCCAAAGCCCTTTTAAGCACTTTCGGCCTGATTTCTGCTAAAAAGGGCTTTGCTCTGGCAAGTCCACCGGCAAAGCCCTTTTAAGCACTTTCGGCCTGATTTCTGCTAAAAAGGGCTTTGCTCTGGCAAGTCCACCGCCAAAGCCCTTTTAAGCACTTTCGGCCTGATTTCTGCTTAAAAGGGCTTTGCTCTGGCAAGTCCACCGCCAAAGCCCTTTTAAGCACTTTCGGCCTGATTTCTGCTTAAAAGGGCTTTGCTCTGGCAAGTCCACCGCCAAAGCCCTTTTAAGCACTTTCGGCCTGATTTCTGCTTAAAAGGGCTTTGCTCTGGCAAGTCCACCGCCAAAGCCCTTTTAAGCACTTTCGGCCTGATTTCTGCTTAAAAGGGCTTTGCTCTGGCAAGTCCACCGCCAAAGCCCTTTTAAGCACTTTCGGCCTGATTTCTGCTAAAAAGGGCTTTGCTCTGGCAAGTCCACCGCCAAAGCCCTTTTAAGCACTTTCGGCCTGATTTCTGCTTAAAAGGGCTTTGCTCTGGCAAGTCCACCGCCAAAGCCCTTTTAAGCACTTTCGGGCTGATTTCTGCTAAAAAGGGCTTTGCTCTGGCAAGTCCACCGCCAAAGCCCTTTTAAGCACTTTCGGCCTGATTTCTGCTTAAAAGGGCTTTGCTCTGGCAAGTCCACCGCCAAAGCCCTTTTAAGCACTTTCGGCCTGATTTCTGCTAAAAAGGGCTTTGCTCTGGCAAGTCCACCGCCAAAGCCCTTTTAAGCACTTTCGGCCTGATTTCTGCTTAAAAGGGCTTTGCTCTGGCAAGTCCACCGCCAAAGCCCTTTTAAGCACTTTCGGCCTGATTTCTGCTTAAAAGGGCTTTGCTCTGGCAAGTCCACCGCCAAAGCCCTTTTAAGCACTTTCGGCCTGATTTCTGCTTAAAAGGGGTTTGCTCTGGCAGGTCCACCGCCAAACCCCTTTTAAGCACTTTCGGCCTGATTTCTGCTTAAAAGGGCTTTGCTCTGGCAGGTCCACCGGCAAACCCCTTTTTCACTTTCGGCTTGATTTCTGCTTCCCGGGGGTTTGGATTTGCTGAGGCCGAAAGGTAAATGCTGTTTGAAAGAAAGAAGGCCCCAAAACCTTTAATTTTAAATACTTAATGTGGAACCTGTGCCCCGGTCCGCGGGCTAATCCGTAAACCGCTAATCCGTAAACCGGGTAATCATTAAGGATTAACTTGGATCAGGCTAGATTATGGTATGAATACTATTGTCATATCATATAGTTTTCGGAATGGTTGTAAAATATGTTCAAATCATTTCAAATCACTATTGATGGTATCCCATGAGTCTACCACATCAGTCCGTGGCGAGTTCCCCTCCCGAGTCGAGGTCCCAACTTCACAAAGGGCTGTGGCTCAGCTTCACCTGACAAACGCTCTGGTTTCCTACATGGCCTTTGGAGGCTAACTTTAACATTCACCACCAGAAAGCGCTCCAGCCTGCAGGGACCTCTAAGTCTTCCTCCCGAAAGTTCTTCACCACACCAAAGAGGTTCTGGCAGACCGAGGCAATGCTCAGTGCGTGATGCCGTCAGATTTCATGGGCTTGGAAATTTGGGGTCTATTTTCAGACAAACCCATGATTGGCCGGATTCAAAATGTTAGGGTCCCCATGGATCCCAAATCCGAAAATCTCAATCTCAGAAAGCTGTCAAAATTAACGACTTCATTTTGCCAAACAGAGATGGGCAAACCAAATGCAAAACCTAGGTCAAAACGCGTGATACCATATTTGGAGTCTGAACATCCACAAATCCTATCGATTTTGTGTACTGTTGGGATCTGTTGGGGTCGTATCAAGTTGCGCCCTGCATTGGCTCTCCTGTGCAGAAGCTTCAGCCCCATGCAATCGAACCTCAGATGTCAGGCCAGAAAAACAAGCGGGGCAGGTTTGGTGCCGTGAAGAAATGGATACGGAGTGTGGCTTCGTCAAGGGAAGTCCGGCCAAGCAAAGACAAATGGTATGCTCCACTTTCTGATTGTTTGAAGTGTTGACTGCCTGATAAAGTCTACAGATGGGAGTCGCTCTGTCCGCTTCTTTTAATCCGTTGATGATGGAAACATCAATCTTGATGTAGAACAAAAATTGAAGTGGTTGTACTTCATCCAGGATTAACCTCATCATATCCCCATTATATCTCATTGTATCCAATGATATGACCATGTTTGTTGCTTAAAGCCCGAGAATTATAGTCCCACTATATCTCGTTATATCAGCATAAATTATGCCCAAAGAATTGGGATGGTTCCCCTGTAGTGTTCCAGGAATATATGATGATCTCCCATCTCTCAGCGCTGAACAGCCCAGGATTCTTCACGTGGATCCCAGGCGGTGACGACGCCTGGAAAGTCATCCAAAATGTGTCTTTTGACCCATGGAGTCTTTAAACAGGTGGTATGGTGATTCTTTAACTCATAGGGAAACATCCTTTAATTGGTATGTTCATCTTAAACCATGGAACAACAATCTTTAGACATAGGATGCTAATTCTGAACCCATGGATACATCTTTTAATTGGGATGTTCATTCTTAAACCATGGAAACATCTTTAAACACTTGGTAAGGTAAGTCTTAACACATGGGAAGTATGTCTTTGCAAATGGGATGTTAACCTACAGCTTAGGAAATCAAAAAGTTTCAAAGATTTGCAGAATTGGGCATCTATGCCATCCAGGGGTATGCAATTGTGAAAGATAGCGTCATATCGACCTGTATAATGCGTATGATCTATATACACAATATACTATTTAAAATATTCATAGTTTATAGTATAGTTATATTTATATAATCTGATTTATATAACTTAACCATAATGTATAGTCTAATCAAGTCTAATCATACTAAATAAAATGCAAGAAAAATCCTGGAGAAATTGAGCAGAGTGTGAAGCTACCTCTGGCAAGTTGTTGACATGGTAAACGATAATTATGTCGTGGTTGTATAATCAATGTCAAGCAGTCTTGAATCCTCTTGACATCAATGGGCTCAGGACAGTTCTCATCTGAGGAGTTTCCAATCATGTTCAGAATCCAACCAGGGTCTAATCTAATCTGCATGCCTTGCAGACCGTTGAGCTCGGGCCGAACCTGGCCAGCTCCGAAACAAGGATGCGACAAGTAGTGATAATAAAACCCAACAAAAATAGATTCTATATACCGGACAAATAGATAATGAAAATATTTCCTGTCCTATACGTACCTGCACGTACCTGGACCATCCTGTGCCAACAGGGTTCTGATTTCCTTCGGAAGCATCACTTAAAATGGCAGGGCCAATTTGTCTTTGACATTCTGCGCCGAAAAAGTGCTGTTTATGCAACACCATCAAGACAAACGTGTGAAAACGGCGACTTTCCACCTTGATGCCCTTGATTCTCACCAAGATATTTGGTGCGATACGCCTCAAGGGAAAACATGATCATAAATTAGGGATTGAAAGGTCCAAAGTACAGTAAACAAATTGAAACATTGTTTCTAAATGTTTCTAACATCAGCTAATCCAATTGAAGTTGAAGCGGATTCAGCAAAATGCTGCATGTCTTGGCAGAAAATTATATTGGAGTTCGCGGCCGGCTGTGACATACGACTCGTCTCATGCAATTGCATACATAGCTCAGGGCGTCGATTTCAAAGCAGAAAGAGTTTCTCTTACGGTTTTCCATGAAGAAAACGCTACAGAATGACACGTCAAGGTACGGTGATCTGGTCCTCAAGAAAAAAGCATGGTAAGCCTGAGCCAATGCCCATGAATATCCACTAATATCCATTAATGCTTGTGAAGTACCTCAAGGATCCTCAAGGCTACTTCTAAGGATTCAAAAAAACAACAAAAAAAACAAAAACAAATGCGGAAAAAAAAACTGTTTGAAGAAACCAAAAACAAAAGCAACAAAAGCAAACCACTATTAAGAAAAAAACAAAACGAAAGTAAAAGAAAGGCAAAATAAAAGCAAATATTGTTTTAGCAAATCCAATATACACAAATATATGTGGTTGTTTTTTTCCCGTCTTTATTGCTTTTTGTTTTGTTATTTTTCACTTGTTTTTCCTCGTGTTGTTTTTTCTTTTGCAGCTGACCTGGTGAACAGGATATTCGAAAATGTAAGACGCCTCAGGAAAAAAGGAAAAAAACATATTATTTTGTATATTGGATCTGCTTTTTTTTTGCTTTTGGTTTTGCTTTTTTGCTTTCGGATTTGCTTTTTTGTTGCTTTGTGTTTTGCTTTTTCTTTTATGCTGTTCTGATTGATTTTCTATTTTTTGCTTTTTTCTTGATTAGGTTTCGATTAGGTTTTGCTTTTTTTGGGATGTGGTTTTGTTTTTTTAACTCATCTTATGTTTTTTTCATGTTATAGAAGTTGCCTGTAGGCCGCATCACAAAAAAAAGTTGTTCAATGCCGATTGATATAGCATGATATCAATGATATAGCAATAAGAGATTTCAAAAGTGTTCAAATCACAGCTGGGCGACCCCAACGGCTTGACTGCCTGACAGGACAACGGTCCCTGCATGGGGAAGGGCTAAGCTTCCGAAGTCCCCAGATTTGGGTTTGAGATGGTTTGAGAAACGTGTCTAAATACTAGTTGTGGATTCAATTCCTGGTGGCGTTC